AGAAAAAGATAAAAGAGGAAAGAAAATGGGGAACGTAGGCGAAACATTTATAAAATAATAGAAAAGGGGGGAATGTTTAAAAAAAAGGACCACCTAGTTTATTAATTTTTAGACTCACTATATAAAAAATATAATATATGTAAAGATACTATATGTATTATATGAAGAATAATGTATATCATTACATTTTTTTCACTAGTAGAGATCTTCATTTATCAACCTGAAGTTTTTAACATTAAACCTTCGGCAGTAATTGCTTCTTTTGGTAAGCTATAAAAGAAAGTTTCAAATGCATAATTCTTCTGTAATTTTGATAGATTGAATTAAATCATCTTAAAATAACACTTATCCAAATTCTACAGTTAGTAAAAATTATTTATGGGAACTCATTCTCACATTTCTAGAAGATAGTTGTCTAAGGTGCTTAAATTTTTAAAGCTATAAAACAGCAAATTTAAATAATTAGTCAGCCGAAATTCAAATTACTTTTATTTAAAACTAAAATTTCATATTTTTTTTTTACAAACCAACGAAATTATTTTAAATACTGTTTCCGTCTGCCTTTTGAAACTTGTAATTATTGGAATCTAAAAGAAAAAAAATATGAATTAGAAAGAAAGTCATATTTACAATAATAGTGGCAGGTTTTAATGTTATAAAATATTAGAAAGTGTTTTTTTATGATTTAAATTAACTGGATGAAATTAATTTTCTTTTTCAGATAAATAGTACTACTCTTCTGCCATTTCTATTCAAGCCTCGTAGCTCAAAAGCATGACAGGTATCACAGCCACAAAATAAAATACACTGAAGTCAGTACTACCATTAACAACATTTACAGAAATTCAAATATATAATTCCAATCTTATTATGCAGTTTCAATACTTTTTATTTTTCTATACATCTGGTAACATTTTGGTACTTGTAAGTTTGATAATTAGATTTCTGTTTCTTACAAAACTTTTAACTCAATAAACCAAGTCTATATTTTTAAACTTTTTGTCGGACTTCATGAAACTAATAGCTTTTTTTAAATTTTTGACGCTGATTCTGAAAAGGACCTCCGTTATTGTCAATCACATCAGAGTTTCTTAAAAAATAGTTATTTTAATATTTTTTAATCAATGTAATCAAGAATCAACAATCGTTTAATAAATTAACATTTTAAAGTTTTGTACCAATTTTTATTCTTTTTTTTTACACTCAATCGAATAGAACGAATTACAAGCTGATAAGGAGCTTTTATTTTAAAGTTGTGAGTAATTTTATCTAAGGAAAATGTCTAAGAGAGAAGGATTTGAAAAAATACTTTTAAAATAAGTTGAGTATATTATCTCTTATATAACTTATAATACCGAGCAGAATAAAACTAATAGTTGTTACAAACATTTGTTTAAATATAAATACACATCCCATAGGATGAAATTCAAAAAAATGCATATTACTTTCAACAATAAATGTTTTTATTTGCAATTGATTTTATTCAATTCAGGATTAAAATTACATACTATACTGACTTATTTCTGAAAATGTAAGATTTCCGAAATTCGCAAATTTTTGAAGTAGTGACCCATAAACAGCTGCATAAAAATGCTCATAACCTTGAAACAAATTGCCATATGAACTTGAAATCGGATTTAATTTAATTCTGCTCAATATTCTAATAAGTAAAAACAATCTGCTTTGTAAATGATTAACGTGGGTAAATTGCGAAAAAATAACATGTAGTGAAAATAGCAGTTTTGATATCAAACATGAAAAAGTGAGCTAGTACAGTTACAAGTTTTCAATTATCAAATATGTAGCAAACTACTGTTATCAATAATTACATAAATTCTGTAGTTTATTAGGAGAGATCACTTTTTCTTTTAAGCATAAATTCAGAACTATTTCCTAGGGGAAGGCTGAGCAGTAGCTTGCTAGTTTCTTCTTCTGCGCAGCTGCACATGTGCTATTTACAACCTAGGTCATCTCAGCAATATCAGGGAACTGTGGATAAGCTCTGTAAATATATATATATATATATATAAACTTTGTATATATATAAACAATAATATAAACTTTGCAACAAATATCCAAACGATAAGCATACAGCTATAGTAGAATTTCAAAGCAAAATTGCTATTTTAAAAATCTTTCAATTTTCAATGATTTATTTATGAGAGAAATTGTTAACATTTTTCTCAATTAATCAGCGTGCATACTGCTACGTTAAAACATATACATTTAAGCAAAATAAAAAGAATAGTTCTATTTGACT